TGTGTATCTGTACTGTCAGTGTGTGTGTTATCTGTGTGGTGCCGACTGTATAGTTGAGTTCATGACGGTGTTGTGGTTGTGCACCTCTTTACTGTCAGCATGTGTTTTGTCAGTGTTGTGCGGTATCAATACCCACCTCTCAGTCTGGTACACCTCCATGGAGCTGTTGAGCTCCTCCAGCTCTTCCTTGAGCAGCTGCAAGTTGGAGTTGACAAAACTGAGCTCCAGAGCCACAGTCTCCTTCACCTTGTGGTTTGTGGTGGCCCTGGAAGACATACAGCACATTTACTCAGGCTTTCAGGCCACAACACAGTTTTAAAGAAAAACATTACAAACTGAAGAAAATTCTCAAAGACTGCTATGATATTTCAGTAAAAATCAACTCGAACACAGAAATTAACTGGATTAGCCACAGTCTTCAAATTCAGCAGAATCTGAATAGGATGCACCAGTTATGACTTTCACATCCTGTAGTGAGTTAGAGTTATAAGGATGTCCTTATTCATCATTGTTTTCTATGCTCTTTCCCAGTCACTACAGTGAAAATGCTCACATCATGGCCATAAGACTTCTAAAGTCCCTTCAGCCTCTGTCACAGCAGGAAGACTGACAGCTTTCTAATAACTCAAAAGAAGAACTCTAACCTCCTTCACGAAAACCTGTGACACGCAAAATCCAAATAAGATCCTCTTATATATTTATTAGGTAATTTTATACAGCTTTCAAAACACATTAGACTCACTTGAGTAAATATAATTTGGGTCATTCAGTTCCTGTTAGCTTAAAAAGCCTTACCACTCCATTTTGTTTTCCATAATGCACGATCACTGTTTTGAAATCACTCATGTATTACAGAATCTGGCCAGCTGTACCAGACATGTAAATAGATCACACTGCAGAAACCTTTGCCAGTCATGGCAAATCACACAACAACAAGCTCTAGGCTCTAGGCTAATGTAGCTGACCTAATGTCTTAGTGATGTCTCAGATACTAGCAAGAGATTCTCTGTGCTCCCCTTATCACTTCTGTAAGGGAATCAGGGCAGAGAAGCTGAAAAAAGCTCAGCTATCCCTGCCAGAAGACACACCTCAGCTATCCAATTAGTCAGATCTAGGCTGGGAAGACAGCAGCAGGATTAATGTG